AAACACTGATGAGCAAAAGGCTGACATTTGTTTAAAAGGATTTTTTATGATAAATATAGGAAAGTATAGGCTATGCAAATCTTTCTAAAACTTGTTTGCTCTTGAATTAGCAGTAGTAGGTAAAAATATATTCACCGGTAAGTCTTATGTAGCTCCATAATACGCTCTTCCAATTCTCTGGTCTGATTTGGAGCAAAACGTAGTTCACCAACATAATTGCCAACATGTTCTTCAGTATCATAATCTCCCAGTTCAGCTTGTACAGCATAGGAGCCTAACAGTGCATGTGTTACAAAAGAACACGGTAGACGTCCGCTGATAATATCTGCTCGGAGCTGCAGGCACAAGTAATACCTAAGGATAGGAAGAGGTCAGAAAGTTGAAATGTTCATAAGAAAAGTAAACAGCTAAGAGATGATTATGTTTCCAGACAAGCTTGTTTAACTACTAGTCCACCATTAATTACAGCATGTCCATTTTACACAATAATCTTCTGGGGAATCTGATAAACTCAGCAATCAGAATTCTGAATTTTAATAACTTAAATTTGGAAATTTGCTTGAAGTGAGGGAAAGCCAACAAAGCTCATCAGAAACTTGATGAACATCCAGTTTTAATTAATCTCATGTGACTAAAAAATGGTACCATTTAAGTAAGGCCACAATATTGGGTGATAGACTATTAACCTTTAACAGGGAAATACAGGGAATTAATGATACAATGAAGGCTTTTTGCAAAACAAGTTACCTCCATTTGGCAAACAGGAAACAGCACCAAAGTCTCTGATTCAAACTTTCTCTCCCCTTCAATACCAAGAATGCAAATGATTATTAGGACAAAGAGCGTGGTGGCTCCTGTGGTTAGATTGCTGAGTTGACAATCAGCAGGCTCATGTTTGAGACCAAGTTGCTATCACAGGACAGGGTGAATTCCTGTCACTCGCTCCAGCTCCTGCCGACTCAGCAGTTTGAAAGTAGGAGACCACAAGTAGATAGATGGGTACCACTTAACAGGTACATGAAAGGAGCCCCCAACTGTGCATCCCCCAGGCAACAGTATGTCACTGGCAAATCCTTTCAATCAGGAAATGCTTCAGCGCTCTCAACATGACTGGAGTAATATTGCTTCTGGAAGAATGTTCCTTCTTTCCAATGACCAATATTAGCAGTAGGAACAATACCCTGGAAAATCGTCATGCTATTGTGTTGCCCTTCAAATAGTTCTTGGAATACTTCTGAGGGAATGAATAAGGCGAGACAGGAAATTTTTCTGAACACAAATTGGCATGGCATGTTGTGTATTTCCAGCTTTTGAGAGTTGTTCCACACAGATAAAATAAACTATGACTTCATCAATGTGTGAACTCAACTATTTTCCTTTTAAGAGAGTTGAGTAAGAATTGGCCAAGACAGATACATTTTTACTTACCTTGTGATGTCCTCTGTGAGTTGGGCTGGGTCTGGTGGATAAAATTTGACTGTGAAGGCAAAATTCCAGGGGCCACCTAAATAAGTGAGAAAGAGAAGAAAAGGGAAAAATATTAGGGCACACGTTTAGGTAATGCATCTTTGATTGACTCTCTCACATGTGGTTTTTATTTCTTTTTTTGAGTTGCCTCACATTCCCCTTTACTCTAAATCTCTAAAGAACTTATAAAGACTTTAAAAAGACACACTCCTCAGAATTAGTGGAGATCTCTGCTTTCCTGGATCTTGATGGCTGAGGCAAACAGCAGGTATGCTTGCCTTTTAAGGTTTGCAATAAGCAAAAGAGTCTTTGCTGTGCAGAGAGACAGTGACTATGGTGTTGCCATGGAAACAAGCTCAAATCCTCAAGAGAGCCTGCTGTTGGGGAAAGACCTCCAGCAACATCTCTTCAAGATACTGCGTCGCAAACCTATCCCATAGCCAGCTATTTTCAAAGAAAAAGTCAATAAGAGGTATTTCGCCAGCTCTTAAAAATCTAAGATACAAACCTGAGACCCTCTTGCTCACAAATATCAGAAACATTATTTGCTTTACTTTTGTGAAACAAAACTGTGCTTCATAAAGTTTGTGTGACACAGTTGGGTTTCATGGAAATCATTTTATGGAGTTGGTAGAAAAGAAACCCTGCCAATGGATTAGACAGAACAATTTTGGTGTCTTTTCCATTTCTAAAGGTTACAAATGGAATCGCTAGGATGCACAGTAGTACCCGATGGGATAGATACATCCTTCATTTCTGATAAATTGTAAAAAGGAGATGGGGCTGACAAGAATTCTGTGCTTTTTTTAAAAAATGAGAATTACTCTCTAAAGAATTGATTTCTAAATGCAAAGACAGCAGGGCTGGAAAATGAGAGCCAGAGACTCAGAAAGCCTCTCTCCTCAGGCAGAGTAAATCTATTCTGTCAGTTATTCCTAATCTACCTGCTAGAAAATTGATAGTGGAAATTCATCTGAAATACATACCGAGGTTCAGAAACATCTCATTCACTAGTAGTATATTTCAACAGCCAGTAAACCATTGTAATTTTGTACAGTCTAGAGCAGGGGTAGGCAACCTCAGCTCTTTTATGACTCGTGGACTTCAACTCCCAGAATTCCTGAGCCAGCCATGACTGGCTCAGGAATTCTGTGAATTGAAGTCCACGAGTCATAAAAGAGCCAAGGTTGCCTACCCCTGGTCTAGAGCATTTCAAATGAATGTTAATAATGTACACAGTGATCTTATTATGCAATGTGCTTTATATTAAGTTCTTGACTATATACTTTTGCATGATGGTTTCCAGATTGAGAAGTCTTAAATATCCATGCTTTGAACTACTCACTGCGAATCTGTTTCTTTATTTCTTTAGAAGGATCCAGCCAATTCTGAAAAAGTATGAGAGCACATTAAGAGGAAATCCTACATAACCACAACATCTGAAATAGGCAAACCACAAACTTTATTTAAACCAGCCCAACATTACCTTCTGACTATCTGAATCACAGAATGTAAGTCCAAAATAATCCTTCTCCAGCAAGTTAAGGTGCTCACAGACCAGGTCAAAGAGTACTTGACCTCGACCATGTTTCTGTATGGACACAAACAAAGTGGCAAAAATTAAGAGCGATGTGAATTGCATTAACTTCTTTCCAAAGCTCACATAGCAACAGATGCAAAACAGCCCCCTTTTGACTGATCATGCAGTGAAGAACAGTAATACTTTCTTTATTAGACATTACAGGACTGCACAAAACCTGAAAGTCTTATAAGGCCCTCTATTTCCTTCCAAACTTTTAGTTAATATCTCTAGGAGCAGCTATGCTTACAAAATAAGGTTTATTAAAATGATACATGCACATGTACAAACTTGAGCATTTTTAACTTTTAAATGGGATTTTTTTTTAAAAAAAATGAAAGCATAAATACCCTGGTGGTCGTCCATTCAAATACTAAGCAGACCTGACCCTATTTAGCTTACAAGGCCAAGGCCAGGCAAGCTCAATTGACAGCAGCTAGCCAACCTTGCCTTTTTTCAGATAGCACTTCTACATGAATTAACTAGAAAATTCCAAAGATGTACGGTAGGTTAAATTAAGAATAAGAAAGCAGTAATGAAAAGCCACTTGTATAACACTGCCAAGAAAACTGCAAGAATCAAGTTCAACTCAAGTGTATCTTTACCCTGTTACAGAGATACATATTCTTTATCTAACTTTGTTCAAAAATATAGATCTGTAATTCCAAGATTACTTTCCTCTAACTGTCCCACTTGGAAGTCAAACTGACATACTCTGAGGATAGTGACAACACGACCCAAAGTTTGATCTACTAATACGATTCTATGTCATGACATGTCAGCATGTGGGCTCTGAGAATGAAAACTAATGGCTACATCATCAAAAACCACAAGCAATTAACACTTCACAAAAATACTTCCATTATATGAAGAAACTTATTAACCTGTGCAACAAAAGGCAATGAATCTATTTAGGCATTTAATATGAATCTTTTTTTTTCTTTTTTAAAATTAAAAGCTGGTTTAGGAGATCAAATGACTGTGAACAAGATAGTCATACACTGGTAACAAATAATTAGTGATGTTTTTCAAGCTGCCTCTTCCTATGAAGTATGTTATGCTGCCTCATCTTTGGTGTCTATTGTTCCTGAGAAGGATAAGAAAAGAACAGCAAGAGTTTATGCCAAAAGTATGCACTTCCAGCATGATCATCCAAGACATAAAGGTCATCTTATGGTAGTTGTCCTGCTAAAGCAAGCAGACATTGATATTGGGCAGCAAAGATATAAGAAGATGCTGAAGGAGGAGGAAGATCACATTACTGACAACAACAGAGGCATCATTTCTTACTGCAATGCAATGGTAAATGATTCTTGTATTTACCAGTAAAATGCATAGATAGATGGCATTCAACATGTTACAGAGTAAGAGTAAAACTTCATTTGAATTCCTAATGATGTTTATGATATGGCTAGATTTGGCATATTTAGTTTCTGATGTTGCCCTGCAGGGGAAAAAAAACAATCTGAAGCTGCATAGAAAAATGGAACTATATTTAGACTAAATTAAAGGTGTAACAAAAGAACTGTAGAATTGACAATGAAGGCACTGAAGTAAATTAAAGGAATCAGCCCTCAAGAAATATATGGTAGACTAGCACTTAGTAGGGTAGCAATGAAAGTGTTGGAAAAGATATTTAGAAGCCACAAATGTCTGTATCTACAAAGATCAGGATTGTGCTGGCAATGGTTTTCCCTATGACACTGTATAGAACTGAAAGTTAGATTCTGAAGACGGGCAGATAGTCTATTGACACTTTTGATTAAAGTCATTTTTGAACTTTGATGCTGGAGAAAACTAGTATCATAGGTAGCCAATAAAACAAACAAATGGATCACAGACCAAATCAATCCAGTTTTCTCACTTGAGGCATAAATGACCTAATTCAAAATATGACATTTTGGAGACATTAGGCAGAGACTTAGTACTCTTGAGAAAACTATAATGCTGAAAAAAAATAGAAGGAAAGAGAAGAGGATGATCAGCACAAATTGAACTCATCTAAAAGAGATAATAACCCATCTTGGTAGACATCCGTATTTTGTAAATCTTGATAAATTAAGAATAGCAAAGCAAACGAGACCTCAGCATGTGTTCATCAATGGGCAAATATCAACCTGTTTTCAAAAAATGGTAATTAATTTTATGCATCCTTTCAGGCTCACATCTCTGGGCTTTGAAGGTCTTTTAACAATCTATTCCAGGCTATCACTCCACCCACTTCTTTTGCTTAAAGGGAACTTTCATCTCTACAACAATCAACTCCTCTGCAGTAAGTCAGGCCACTTTCAGAATCTCACTGTTCAAGATGTCAGCTAAAAAGCCTGACTGCAGAAGCATGGAGATCAAAGGCACATAAAGGCCCTTTTAACTTTCTCCCAGTCCCTCAATGTTTTGTTCTTTATTTAGTTACTTGTACAAATTGTACAAAAGCAATTTGCAACCCATATTCAACTGACACCAATAACTTTTTTGAAAAAAGTCAACAGAAAATGAGACACAGTGAGGTGTTTATAACACTGAACCCTGAAAGTCCTATTTAAATAAGGATATGCCTATATCTTTACTTGTCAAAGGGCTCTGTTGAATGTCCTTATTTGCTACAAGATAGGCAATGCTATATCATTGGGGAAGATTATGGATGTTTGATAAAACAGAATCATCCTAAATTATGCAGGGATCAGCCAGCTTAGAGAGTGAACAGATATAATGAGCAACTTGATCCCAGGAATATTAACATATTTTCATATATAATTTTTTATTAAGGTTTAAACATTCAAAGATAAAAAATAATGCAAACTAAAAAAAATATGAAAAGTAAAGAAAAAAATGAAAAGTGCAGAGAAAAAAATGAGAAAAATATAAGAGAAAAAGGATATATTAAAAAAAATAACTTCTCCCTTCATCAAACAAGTACAAACAATTTCTAACTAAAGAGAAATCTCTTCTTCCCATATTCCATCTCTTATCTATAAACAAATAAGAAAGCCCCATAATTCAAGTTTAATCAGCAAAAGTCTATTAAGTGTTACCAGATGTAACAATACATTTTTATCTAAGTCAAATAAATCAGCTTCACAATCCTTTACTTTTAACACAGTAACTTACCGTATTACTTTCTCTAAAAAGAACAAAAAGTTTCTTCTTCCCCTATCTTATAAATATATCTTTAAAGCCTCATCATTCAGGAAAAATCCTGAGCTATCAAAAGGAAGCAATTTATTAAAAATCTTAATCTTTAATCCCTTCAAATAGTGACTCATAAAATTAATTTCTTTTCATTTTCTTTTTATCTCGTCTTAGAAAATCTTTCGCAAGTTTAACACATATCAGAAATAAAAACATATATTTTAACAGAAAATCTTATCTTATGTACAAACAAATATTTAAAGCTTGGTCATTTTTGTCAGGAAAAACTCTAGAGCTACTAGAAAGAACATTATAAATACATACATACATACATACATACATACATACATACATACATACATACATAAATGATTTAGTCATCATCATTATTCTAGCTATTGTCTATCCACTGCAGGATGAAGGCCTCTTACATGTGTTTTCAACCAATACATACACAAATACATACATACATACATACATACATACATTCTTTCAATGGAGAACATGCAATATTTCTGCTTCACTTTCACATGTCCTGCACTGAATTAAACAAGAAAAAAGTGCTATTTGCGCCAAAGGAGGCTCCTAAATGAATGCCTGGTTAGCACTGTCTTACATGGAAGAATGTGCACAAATGTCAAAATTAATTATCCTGATTTTAGGAACACAGAGAAGATAGCATTCTGCAACTTTGGTAGTAACATGAGGAATGAAATTAGACAGATTCCCTTGCTTGAGTGACTGTACCCCGTAGAAGAGGATAGCTTGAGCTCATGCCTTCCAATGGTGTTGTACAACTTACAAAGTAAATTATCCTAACCCTTTTTTCTGGTCCTTTGTCCCAATTCTACCTTCCCTTCTCTCTACTCTTTCCTACTGTATGTCTTAGCATGTTATGGCATTCTACATGTGTCTCTGAAAGGCCTCTTCCCATTTTCACTGGGGGTCTCAATAGCTGCATTTCTGAACAAAGTCATTAATTAATACATTTATCAAGACCTGATAATTTCACTGAAGGGAAATTCTGCACACTAGAAACTACTTAATTGAAGAAAGCCATTTCTGGATTTTTCAGAAACAAAAAATGACAATGTCAATGTTAATGCCACAAACTGCAAAAGAAGAATCTCAATGACATATTTCTGTAATTTCAAGCATCTAGTCATCTTCTTTCACACAGAGAACCTTTCCCTCTGGCTACTGCTTCCATGCCACTTACATCTTCAGTCTGAAGCAACTGAACTCTTGCAGTGTCATGGTTTGGTATCTCAACAGCAGTATTAAATAGATGTCTAGAGCAATTGGGAGTTGAGCAGTACATAAATTTAAGAAATTATTATTAATAATTAATATATAGTATAATTATTTTCTGCCTTATCTGTTTATAGATTTACTAAGCAAACACATAAAACTACCTCATAGAATCTTTCTATTCCAATTGGAGAGGTACTGATTCAAAGACTTCCAACTCTGTTATAAGCTGCTTCTAACACAATATATCAGATTTTATTATCTTATGTATTAGTCCAGCCTTTCCTAATCGTAGCACATTACAGATGCACGGACTTTAACCCAAGAATTCTTAAGCCATTGGTCACACTAACTGGGGAATTCTAGAAATGTATACAGTGTGAGTTATCCTTATGGAGAAAGGTTGTACCAGAACTCATTGCAAAATATGGAATCTGAAAGCTCCCTTCTTCCTTCCTAATCATCTATTTCTCTGAAAAATTGCAAAAAGAAAAGTCTCTAGCTACTGACTACCTTCAGATGTGAGCTGTGCAATTCTTGTACATATTTATTTTATACTGCTCTTCAAAAATTATTGAGAAAATCAGATAATCCTAACGTATATTTACAGAAAGCAAGATTTTTCCAGAATTTCTTTATCAAGATTTATTGAAAAGGAATAATGTGAAGTTCTAGAAATCTCAGCAACTGGACAGGAGAAGTGATTGCTCTTTTAACTAGTAACAGAAGAATATCCAGCAGATTAGAATGTAACCTCTCTTTGGCTCTAAACATACCATCCCATCTCTATTGAAATGTCTGGATTTTCTCACTTTTTTATAGCCTTGCCAATGATGAGAAATAAAAACAAAACAGAAGAAAAAACTAAACAAAAATGTTCTTGGTAAAAATGTGTGTGTGCATTTCAGAGCTAAATCTGAAGTAAACTAATAAACTTCTAATTTTACATTTTGAGCATAATAGCCACAACTCTATATAGGAGTAACTTCCCTAATAGGAAAATTTCTCTGTGACTTCAAATAATGCTATTTAATGCCATTAATGACTATATCTAATCATTCCTTCAGGAAGGGTCTAGGACAGTGGTTCTCAACCTGTGGGTCGGGACCTCATTTGGGGTCGATTGGCCATTTCACGGGGGTCACCAAGCAAGGGTGTCCGCCATTTTTTTTTGTCTGCCATTTTTTCCCCTTTTCCGGCGGGTGCCTTACCTCCCTTGGGCTGGGCCAGCTGATGGTCGGCCTGCTCCGTCTCTGCTGCTTGCCAGCTACACCTCAGCAGGTGCAGGGGGCGGAACCACGCATGCGCGGCGCTCCTGGGCAGGGAAAGTCCTCGACTTACAACCGGTTGGGTAGTCCTCGACTTACGACCGGTTTAGTCCTCGACTTACGACTGGTTTAGTCCTCAACTTATGACCGGTTGGGGTCACGGCATTAAAAAGGTTGAGAACCACTGGTCTAGGACAATACACCAGGGCCAACTCACCATAGCCTACTCACCATGGCCAACTCGGTGCAGGACTGCTCACCACGGCCAACTCGACGCAAGTCAATTTGGCACGGGACAATTCAATGCTGAATTAATCATTTCATTCAGTTACTTTTATTATTGCTAATCACATTTTCATCAAAATTATTGTAACTCTTGTATTTCTGGATTTACTTCATTTTATTATTATTAACCATGGTTCCACTGAAATTAATTGAACTTTTGTATTTGTCCTGCGGTGAATTGTCCCATGGTGAGTTGGCCATGACAAGTTGGCTGCAGCGAGTTAGCGTCGGTGAGTTGTCCCGTTCCATTCAGGAAAGTGCAGAGAGGATTGGAAGAAACTCTTAAAAATAGGAATAAAACTGCTTCCCACTGTTGTAGATCCTCTGGGCAATCAGGAAATATATATGTTCTCCCTCAAATCCTTTCCCCGCATTGTGACCTATCCATTTTTAAAAGAAATGAAAAAAGACAGACTTGCAATGTATGACATCTTATATTATTTCCTGCAGCAGAAGGTAAGTATCTTAAGAATTTTCAAATACTTACCCCTTTTTTCTTCGCCATCTAAGGAATACATATTGCCCATTCACCATATAGGAAACAATGGTTCTAATATCTATGAAAAGATGAACCACTACCTGGCTATCTTTTATTCTGTAGAAAAGTGGATTTATGTATAGATAATGAAGGGAGGGTTAGTCATGCCAACCAAGCTTTATAAGTTTTTATAAATATTTAAAACATCTTCTTCACTTTATAAATACTCAAATCTTCTTGACTGAATGCTGCAAGTAATGTTCCCCTTCTTTAGGTGCCTCTATCAAAATAACAGTTATACAAGCACACAAACCTATTGCCTACACTTCATTCTCTCAAACTATACAGATAGCAGGCTGCCTAGACTTAAAAATGTATGAGTCACTCACACCTGCTTTCCCTGTGCATTCATACACAGAGTTAAGCATGCAGATGAGTCTTTAGCAAAGTTGAAAGTATTATCTGTTTTAATACACTGATCTAAGGCTATTTTAAAAAAGCTTCTTGATTTTAGCAGGTATGCTTTCCATGGAGCTACTCAGTTTTTATATTTAGAGGGCAAACAAAATAAACTTATGGGTAGAAATAAAAAAGTCAAGTGGTACAGCCCCCATGCTCACCTCTACTTCACACTCATAGTCTGAGGCATCCAGAAGAGTCACCCTGCAGACTGCACTCTTGAACTTTTTTGTGATTTTCTGAGGAGATTTTTGGGCCTTGCTGGGGGTAGTCTTCTCAGATAACCCATCTGCTTCACTGTAGTCCTTTTCATCCATGTCCACAGCCTAAAAATAAAGTAGAATCAAAAAATATAAGTGGCGATAGGCAACAAGGTAATCTTCTAGTGTAACTCCCTGCTCAGTGCAAGAATCAGCTACTACAGTACCACAGTGCAAGATCTATTTTTATGTACCCTTCCTTTAAGACTTTTCTGGTTTCACTCGTTCATTCTATTCACCAAACTAGGTTGACATTTTATTTGAAAAACTTTCTCACTAACTATCCTAATGCCATTACTTGGAAGATAGACCATACTCTCCTCATAATACATGGATGATACACTGGGATTACCATCTTTATGGTTTGTCCATATAATGAAATCAAATCTATGATGCGCTTTCTTCTGTTCTCTAACTTTGCAGTAGAACTACCAGCAACTGATACCACTTACATGGACTGAATTGTCAAGCAAAATGACTTCATTTTATATCAAATATTTTGACAGAAAATAAAATTCCAACCAGTTGGTAGGAAAAAGCGCATGACTGAAGACCTCACACGAAGGACAAGGCTTATTTGAGATCACTGCTGTGTTGAGTTTCTATAGCATATTATTGGCTCTTGTGGCTGGGACTTTTGATGTATTTACATTTCATTCATTCTTATTTTTCATTCAGATCATAATGCTTTATGAAGAAGAGGACTATATTCTGCTGGGGAAACAGAAAATTGACTCAACATTTTTTAAGCAGAGGAATAGGCAGTCTTCGATCTGCAACCATTCATTTAGTGACTGCTTGAAATTATAACAGCACTGAAAAAAAGATAACTAGTTTTCACACTTATGACTGTTGTAGCATTCCCATGGTCATGTGATCAAAATTTGGGCCCTGGCAACTGGCATATATTAATAACATGTGATCACCATTTGTAACCTTCCCAGCCGGCTTCCAACAAGCGAAGTTAATGGGGGAAGCCAGATTCACGTAAGAACCACATGATTCATTTAACAGCAAGCAGTGATTCACTTAACCATGGCCAAAAAAGTTGTAAAATGGGGGAAAATTCATTTAACAACTGCCTTCCTTGGCAATAGAAATTTGGGGCTCAACTGTGGTCCTAAGTCAAGGACTACCTGTATATTTACTCAGACCCTTTCTATCAAGCAGGATTGGGCTTGATTAGTACTTTGGCTGGAAGACTACCAGCAAATGCCAGGAGTCGAAAACTGAAAAACATTTTCTATATGAATGTGATGGGGGAGAGGGCATATATGCACCTATACACAAAACTGCAGTAGACTTGCTTTACATGTATAGATTATGCCATTCAAGCTCTGTGTAGCCCAGTTGATTCCTGCCCCTCCCAATGTATTCAGTGCGGCAATTTTGACTAATTTTAGTTCTATGCTACTAATCAACAATTTTATACTGAATGATACCATAGGTGAAAATAAAAGAAAAATCACGTAATTATCTCTCGAGAGAAAATCCAATAATTCCTAAAAGCAAATTTGTTAAGATGCAGCACCAGATCATTGCAAAATGCTGACAGCCTGGTGCTTTGATGAGACTTATGGGAAAAAATAAGTTTTGCTTTCAGTCTATTATATCTGCACCAAGCTAGCACCATATTTAACCACTGTATGGGCTTTTAATATAAAAAATAGTTGATTACATTTCAGGAATGTCTATATACGTTGTAGCTAGAAAAGGTTAGGTCCTTCCCATTGATGGTACTTTCAATTTCAATCTGTACTCAGTAACCAGATCAGCGCTGGCCCGTTTGCAATTCTAGTTCCTCACACAATAGATAAGTCTGATACAGAAAACCCTGAGGAAAAACGAGGGAGTGAATGACGATTGGCTTTATCCTTGTAATATTTATTTTTTGACAGAATTACCTGGAGAGAGATGCTTACACATTGTTGCTACTTCCTTCTTGCTATATTCTCTGCCCTGTACAATAATACAAACACCATTCTTAAGTTTCATTTGGTACTTCTTATAAAATAGCTGTTCTGAATCAATGGACATAAGAGCCTCTCCAAATATAACCATACATTTTTTTTATTCTCTTATGTTGACCTTACATTTGACACTTTTATTTCCTGATGGGAAATGGCATAATACTTTGTAGTTGCTCATTATAAGAAATAAGAAGGTATTTGAACATTTTCTCCAATGCAAGATGGGATTTTGCAATACTAACATTTTGTAATAAATGGAAGCTTTTGAGAGGATAACAATGTGTGCCATTCTTGTCTGCCATCTTTAACTCAGTAGTGAAGCTTGTTTGGTGAAAAAGAGCAGTGAAATATAATTACTTATATTTGTTTGTTACAGAGTAAGTTTCTTGGGATGGCACATATGAAAGTACAACTCATCTGGCTCCATTTTTATCTTCTGAGAATCCTTTTATTTCTGGGACCAAGGATAGTGCATTATTTGATTAGCCTTCCCTCAGAGTCCTTGCAACTTGGTCAGAAGGATTCCTCTTCCATGTTTAAGCTTTTAGTCTGGATATTATGTGAAGATACCCTTGACTGATATCCTGATCCTCCTTTTTTTTTAACTATAGTGTATCATACAGAAGCTCAGGATTCTTTGTTTTTCTTATCTTATTCCTTGGCTCTACTTTGTAAATCACTATTGCCTTGCATTGAGTCATGGACAATGATATGCTTTAGCGGACTTACTCTTACTTTGGCCACTAAAAATAAATTGTGGCACAATACTGCCTTGTCTGGTACATACCAAGATGTATATTTTCTCACATTTTGGAATAAATACCCTTATGATGGCATCCTAAAATAATCTCACCATATACTCAGATTATTTACCCCCTGCTTTATAAAAAAGAATACAGACAATACTGAAAACAAGCTGAAAACTTGTTTTCTTGTTGCCAGAGCAATTATTTGTCCATCCTCCATAGCAAGGATAGGACCTCTATGGCTCTTCAAATGGAGTTGGATTCCAACTGTCACCAAGCCCAGTTAATAATGTTTAGAGGGTCAACAAGGATCTACCCTGTGGTTTTCAATGTAGTTAATTTTTGTATTCATTATTTTGTGGAGCCATTTTTATTTTATGCAAATTTTGACACTGACTAATAGCTACCCAGGATCTTCAGAAACAGATGGCATACAAATCAAATAAGCAAGTACAGACCTAAGACTAGAATACACTGGTTATATCACTTGCAGCAGATCAGTAAAGTTTACTAACTCCCAACTTTTTAACAACAATAACAACATATGCTTTTCATGGCATAGGGCCTGGTTATCCTCAAGACTGCCTATCTCCAATAGTTTCTACCCACCTTATACCAGTGGGCTGAGTAGATACACTATAGTAACAACCCAAGAAGAAAAAAACAGGAATCATCTACAATATACAATGTAAGGACTGCAACAACCACTGTGTAGGACAAACAGGCAGAAGACTGGCAGAATGTATCCACAAACACCAACTAGCAGTCATAAGACATTATGAAAATCTTGTAATTTCACAACATATAGACAGATTTAACCATAGTTTCAATTGGGAAAATGTGACAATCCTAGACCAGGTCAAATCCAAAAATGCCAGGGAATTTCTAGAAGCCTGGCACTCTGACAAATCAGCCATCAATAGACACATAGACATTAACAACATCTATAGACTATGCAAAAGAGACTATCACCCAACCCCAAAAGGAAGAAAAAGACCCAAGCATCTCTCCACCAGCAATCAGCATCTACATCAGCATAGATTAACTCCAAGGTTAACATTAGACCAACAATCAAGTAAAAAGTACCCCAATCAAGGAACTGCCAAAGAAGTCAACACCAAATAGCCCAATCAAAGAATCTCTAAGACCACCCCACCAACACTGGCAGGCAAGCCACTAGAATATATACTGACAGCAAAGAGCACTCCTTACTAACACTGATGATGTTACCTAGTTTGGGTAATGAAATGCCTGCAAGAAAACAAGCAAGCTCAGAGAGCACCTAGGACCCCTAATGACACACCTTTTCATAGCCTAATTTTTTTTTAACATTGGAAGTGAGCAACATAATTAAGATTCACTCTGCACACACTAAAAGAAATTGATAGCAATAACACTTAGACTTATATTCCACCTCACAGTTCTTTACAGCCCTCTCTAAGCGGTTTACAGAGTCAGCATATAGCCCTCAACAAACTCAGTCTCCATTTTACCAACCTTGGAAGGATGAGAGGATGGAATATTGAATCAACCTTGAGCCAGTCAGGATCAAACTGTTGGTAGTCGGCAGAATTAGCCTGCAATACTGCATTCCAGCCACTGCCCCATCACGGCTCTTACCATTATCATTATAATTAACATGATCACAAGCTGAACTCTTGACACTAAAAACTACTCCTGGGATAAATTTTGATCATTTTTGGCTCCTTTCTGCTCTTGGCACAGCCCATCCTAATTCTGATCTGGAGACATTGTTATATGCTCCTGACTTCTCATTAGCATCCACATACATATTGTCAAAGATCCTACCTCACCCCTGGCAAGAAAGACTCACGAGTCGATCAGTTCACAGGTGGTTTTCAATTTACTGAGAGGAATCCTCAGCATGCAGTTCAAAGGTACACCACTTTCAAAGTCCACGCTGGGAGCAACTGCCTCCCAGCGCTGTATATACACACACAGGCAGTAAACACCGCCCCCACCCATCTAACCAGCATCCGGCCGTGCGACCTCAAATGGCTGTTGGCAATGCCCAACAGTGCGCCTCAGCTTTTCATGGCCGCGTCCCAGCCGGCTTCAGACCTTGTCCTCGACTCCCAGCCTGCTGTAAATCACCCCCTCTGCCCGCCTTGCAAACAGTTTGGTAAGTGTCCCAGCAGTAGGACGGCACAGCTCTAATGACAGCTCTCCAGCCGCCCGGCGCCCCGACAGCCCATCAGCTGTTCAGCGGGCCGAAGAACATCGCTGGGACTATCAGCTGGCATGCGGCTGCATATCAACTGTTCGGCGGCCGAAGGTTCCGGCTGGCTAGAGGCGGTTGGTCTTGCTGGTGCTGGTTACCTCCATCGTCCTCCGCCCTGCTCACCATCCTTGCCCTCCCCCCACACCTGTCCATGTCGAGCCTAGAGGGCTTGACACATATGTAAAACATTGTGTTAATTGTTTGCTTAAAAATTAAGAGTTTAGAATGCAGAAGCTGTTCTCAGTTCTCAGCCTACCAGGAGATACACTGCTTGTATGATATATAAAACACATTATAAAAGGTAATAAAGGTAGAAAATTGGCATTGCATCAAGTCTGCATGGGGGGAAATGCAGAGGTAGCATTTACCTAAATCAGAGGTGGGCAACTAGGGTAACTTTATGACCTGTGGACTTCAACATCCAGAATTCCTGAGCCAGCAGGATAACATGACATATTTTCGCTATCATGCTCAAACGTGGAACAGACACCTGCAGATATATTATTCCCAGGTGGACAATAGAGACTATGTTTATGTAAGCTTAAATCCTAGCAATTAGACAAAATGATTATTTACTTTCACATAATTTTAAAACTCCCTGGCATGTTATTGTTTTCTTAGTTTTGCTGTTACTGTATATTTTTAACTGCATTTTATTTTTTATGCTATTTTATGCTTTAAATGGTCTACTGCAGTGGTGGCGAATCTATGGCACAGGTGCCAGAGGTGGCACTCAGAGCCCTCTCTGTGGGCACGTGCACCGTCGTCCCAGTCCTAGGCCTTCAGCTGGGTTTTATAAAACCTTTTCGCTTTAGGCCTCCGCCACCGTGTGCAAAAAAAAAAAAAAAAGGTTCAATCAATCAGTCAATTTCAACTTCTTGCGGAAAAAAAAAGATCTTGCAAAGTTGGAATTGATTGATAGAACTTTTTAGTCCCACCCAGTCTGCCGTTGCCACGGCAGCCACACCCACCCAATTGGCCACACCCACCGGGCACCCGACGATGCATAAGTGGGTTTTGGGTTGCAGTTTGGGCACTCGGTCTCTAAAAGGTTCGCCATCACTGGTCTACTGAAAAAAAATTGTAAAGCAGGAAATGCCATAATTTAAGCCTACATATAAACTGTACAGGCTGTCATGAAAATCTTCTGCTATAGGGACGAAAATATAGTATTTGGCCATTAATATATAAGAAAATAAAGATTTCTTTATGATGTTGATCCAATGGTATTTAACAGAAACATTGCCATATTATCTACGTTTTTTATACCATAAACAGAACTAGGTATATCCTACTAGTTTATGGTTTGTTTGTTTGTTCATTTATAAATCATATTTATATGTCTGCCAATCTCACAGAATGTGACTCTGGGTAGCATACAATAAAATAGTAAAATAGCAATATTAAAATAGAATGTTATTAAAACTATTGATGTTATTATTAAAAAGGCTAAGTGCAGTGTTAGATATTATGAACAGTAAAGCCACCTCAAGAGACTTTTCAGTCTATGGACACAGCCAGGTTAAAGGGATTAATTTCCCTTGGGTTTTAGCCAGCTTTCAATGTTCAGTTGTAGTTTCTAACAAACAACAGTTGTAAGAGAGCACAGAAAGTCAATGCAGGCCTATTTCTGTGCGCAATGATTAGATGCACTGAATATGTTTTGTTATAGCAAATAAAAGCTGTAGTTAGTGCTAAACTCCAGCAAATAAATGAGAGCCCATTCTGCATATTTTTTAATGAGATCATTTATAAAATGGCTGAGTTCCAACCTTGAAAATATCTTCTAAGCCTTTGTGAGAGTACCTTTGGCAACAGAGTAAACTCACCCGCTCCCCAAGTTTAGCATCACTGTGGGCTCCTGGTTTCTCATTATCGTCAGCTTCCTGATTGTGTACTGTGCTGGTGGAGCTACCATTCACTGTGTTTGGCCCAGTTGCTGCTGCCTCCTGCTGCTGCTGGGGACTTCCTTCTTGAGCATTCTTCACCTCCGAATCTGGGCTGGTCTCTGTCATCATTGTTATTGATTATTCTGCATTTGCAAAGGGAAGATGAAATACATGAGGATGAGATTAAATGTGTAATTGTACCTATTAAAATAAAAAAAAATGTCAACTTCCAGGGCATACACCTGTGCCTCGTGGCACCATCTTGCACACAAAAATTATACAGTGAGTATTCTCAATAAAATCTATATAGTTAGTCAATCCACCACCTGGATACCTCAATCTCAAGCACCCACTCTGCTGAGATGCTGCATAGGGGTGAAAATTGTTGCAATAAACATTCCTTCAGGCTACAAACTGATACTCACATTTATTATTGGTAAACGTCTCATTGAAACTCAACAGCAAGACTACCTAAAGAGCATTCTTTTACACTAAGAGAAAATCAGAACGCTACAGAATACTACACCTTGATCAAGCAACTATTTGGCTCTAAGATGCTCTTATTGTTGAAAAACAGGAACTTTACATGAGGGAACTTTGGGAAAGCCACACTCTGCATAACCTACTTCAAAGACTATTCTAATTACAAAAAAAAAAGGATTAGCCCCAATCCTAGTTCAGTAAACATAGTCAAAATTGTGATGGAGGAAAAACTAAGATATAGTCCTGTTCTACATTAAAAGGTGTTGAGCAATCTGCACCCTAGTGTGTCATGCAATCCCTGGCCCATTTTCAAAAATCCTCTGGTAGTAATCATTTCAGAACTCCCTATGCACCCCATCTCATGCACACCTGTACAAATCTCATGATTTTGCAAACTTAGCATTCTCTTACGCTTAAATCTGATATGCTGGAATCTTGCTACCACAAATATTTATGAATTCTAATAGTCTCTTAATGTGAAAAAGTCCAAATTAGGTTCCCCCCAGAAATGTTTCACTACAACTCCCATAATCTTCAGTCTGCACTAGACAGGTTCAGGTACAGCAGGAAAAATTACACAAAAATATAGCTGTTTTCTACAAAGCCAGATCTTTCTTTCTGTGCTTTATGAACTACAGCCTCACATGGAGGCCATATATCAAACCAGCACCACACCTACAGCTTTGTTGCATGCAAGACTAATCTCTCCATCCACAAAATAAAACGTATTCCACATGGGTATTAGAATGCAAAAACAAACACTCTGATTGCTGAGCTCTGGCTGCTAATCTGTCCCCTCTGTACATTTTTGTTTGGCTTAACAAGATGCCTAATATATCTGCACATAAGGGTACAAATGAAGCACTACAGCGTGTACCAAACCAATTACATTCCTCCAATAGCTAGATATTGCGCTGATTAGTGCCAGCTGAAAATTTCCATCCAACGCAATAGTTCAGACAACATAACAGATCTCACAGCTTGCACAGGCTTCTGACAATAAAAACAAGGCATGATGAGAGTTTTTCCTCTACAGATTCTCTTTTGTCTGGCAGACACTCCCATGCCAGTGTTAGTGCAATCTTTCTTTTAACCTGATGATAAAACTTCTGGTCTTTCTCCCTCTAACTCAGTCCAGCAGAAGATGAAAGGCAACTGCTGTTTATGCCAGGGATCTCCAACCCTCGGGCCGCGGCCCACGACTGAACTGTGGCCTTTTCAAAACCAACCTGCGTGAGCAATGGGCAAGCGGTGTACATAAAACTCGACTCGCGTGAGCGGAGGGTGCTTGAGTCGAGGGTACTTGTGCTTGCATGTGAAGCTCCACTAATGTGAGCGGAGGGCGCTCACACACGAAGCTCCATTCACATGAGCACAAGTGCCCTCTGCTCATGTGTAAAGCTCCACCAATGGAGCTGTGTGCTTGCATGTGCGCCTGCCACTCACTCGCCCCTCCGCCAGGCCTGCAAGGTGGAAAGGTTGGGGACCACTGGTTTATGCCATCTTTTCTACCTAGCAGTCAGCTTGTAGCTTGGATTCTTCAGTTTGGTTGAAATATTTTAAAAAGCGAAGTTTAATCTGTTTAGAGAAACTTTTTAAATACTGAGGTCACTCAATACACATTTTGGAAGTTCATGAAAATGTAGTACAAAGAATGTCCCAATTTAGTGAGACTGAGTAGAAGAGAAAAAGAGACAGGAGAGACTATTGGCCAGCTGAGAAGCTGCTAGTAGCCACAATTCCACACCCCTAGTTTAGAAGATTTCCAGTTCTACCATGTTCTCCCCACCAACAAAGGATGAATTTTCATGTATTGAAGAAGGCTCAGTCCAGGATTGCTTGGGTTAAAAGTTAAAACTGGCAAACTTTTCTGAAAGAAGTCCATTTCTCTACAACGTACAGCCACATTCTTGACTGAGTTCTAATCCACACAGCAAACTCCAGTCCACAGAGAGGTAATGTTCTTGTCAGTGCTCTACATAAACCATCATATTATCTGAATCATGCCTTAAAGTTACATGTGCAAACACTCCTTGGAAAAGAATAGAAATTCCACGACTTGTAAAAGGTAATTTAAAAAAGAATTTCAAATTCTTTTTGCAATGAATTTTAATCCAAGCCGGAAAGCATCTTAACTCTTTCCCTTATCCCTCCCAAATATGTAAAACTATACACTCATGTAAAAAAACAAGTTTAAAGTTTTTTTTTTAACATATGTGGTCATTTCAATGTTTTATCTTCCTTCAAATAGAATATAAATATGATAAAGGTGACCTGGGGAAGCCATGGTGAACTGAAAATAGCTCTGCTCAGACAGAAATCAATGACCACAGTGGCACAAGAAGCCAGCATATGGATCGACTTCTTGGACTTCCCCTCCAGACAAGGAGAGGACTCAGGATTGCCCACAAGCACTCCAGAGGGCAGCTCCCATGCGAAGATCATAAGACAATTAATTGCCTCTGGCAGGTTTTAGAACTCTGAGAAGAAAAGTCTTGTAACTAAGAAAAGTGCCCTCCAAATAGATTGATGCAGGGTCAACTCTTAAGAAATCTTTATCAGTGAAGCTCAATTCTTGATGATTTCAAGGCCATGAATTATGAAGTTTTCACAGCCACATTACATTAATGATTTGTCCATGCCTTCTTCTAAGATGTTTTTCACTTCTCAATCTAGCTGGAATGCAATACCTCAGTGAGGTACCTGGTTGAGGAGGACATTGGAATATGTGATGTTATTGTCTTTCAGCTACTATGATGAGTAATCTTTCAAATATTTATGGTACACAGATAGCTTTCACCAATTTTTGAAATGAGAAATTCAAGTAGCAAGATGAGGACTAATGGATATGGCTTAGAAATCACATCCACAGAGCACTGGGGTTCTGACAGATGGAACTCCGTGTTTTTCAATAGCTTAAAGCAGGGGTGGGGAACCTTGGCCCTTTTATGACTTATGGACTAGCTCCCAGAATTCCTAAGCCAGCCATGCTGGAAGTTGTCATAAGTCCGTGGTGGCGAACCTATGGCACGTGTGCCACAGGTGGCACGCAGAGCCCTCTCTATGGGCACGCATGCCATCGCCCCAGTCCTAGGCCTTCAGCTGGGTTTTATAAAACCTTTTCACATTAGGCCTCCGCCGCCGTATGCAAAAAAAAGAGGGTTCAATCAATCAATTTCAACTTCTCGCGGGGAAAAGAAAGATCTTGCAAAGTTGGAATTGATTGATTGAACTTTTTAGTCCCACCCAGTCTGCTGTTACTACCGCAGCCACGCCCACCCAATGGGACACACACACCCAATGGGACACGCCCACCTGGCACCCGACAATACATAAGCGGGTTTTGGGTTGCAGTTTGGGCACTCGGTCTCTAAAAGGTTTGCCATCACTGTCATAAGTCATAAAAGGGCCAAGGTTCCCCACCCCTGGCTTAAAGGGTGGGATGCAGCATAACATTTGTTTTGAACCCAAGGTTTATAACTTTAAACAAACACGCAAAGCTCAGCTGAATTCCTGACTTCTGGCTTCTTGGCAAGTGATTCTCAATCCACCCCTAAAAAGCATTAAATTGCTGCCATTCTTTCTCTTTGGCCAGTCCTCCAAAACAGGTTGCTATACCCTGAGAGAAAGTCCACAGGAACTATAGAGAAAGAATTCTGGTGGAACATTCTTGGTTTACCATTTATTTATTTGATTTCTGATTCTGATTTGATTAATTAACCATAAGAAAATGTGCCCTCTGGGACTATTGGTCAGGGACTATTTTTGCTGTAAGATTTCATAGAGTGAAACCACCATGGTTCCTTTATCACAACAAGTTTTATGCACAGCATGGGTTACTTTCACCTAAAATGAGCTTTCTGATGATCCTGTGCAAAATTTTAGTTTCATACTTCAAAACAGCAGTACAAACATTTCAGACTTTCTGCCTAAGGCATGCCAAGTTGTAATGCAAAGATTATTTCTCTACTTTGAAATTGCTTGTTGAATTAGGGAAGAACATCTTTTTTTCCTCTTTGATCACAGCCCACCCTTTTCCATCTTTTTGCTTTCTCCCAACTACTGTGATATAGAAAGAGATAGAAAGAATGGATATCATGGGCATTAGCATCAGAATATGCCATGCAGCACTCCATCAGATTGAACTGGAGGAGGAGAAATGAAAACAAAGAAGGAACAAAAGAAAAAATAAGTTGAAGAAGCTGCAGGTATTGTATCTTTTGATGCATTGAGAGTGACAGATTTAAAAGGTAATTTTGTGGGCTTGTTAGCTGACAGCTCTCTGTTTATTTATCTTGAGCCTAAACAATTTTGTAATGGTTTTCAGAACAATAAAACCTGTACAATATAGAAAGACTACAAGAAGAAAGATGGCTGAAACAAAGGGGAAAAATATATAAAGCACTATGGATTTAACAGTTTCTGCACTGCATGAAACTCCATGTAGGTTTTTGCCTATATGAAGGGAAACCAACAATTTGGCAATTTCTTGGAGGAAAGATATTTATATGAAAAGCTTGTATGTAATCATTCAAAACAAGACCTTTCTAGGTAGCTTATAACACTCAAAAGGATGCTAGATTCTTGCAGAGGGAACATCAAGAATGCACATTTTTATCAAAATAATAAAAGCATCTCTTTAACACCAGGACACA